TCGAGGATGTTTCAGCCACATCACTCCCAGAGTACCTGCGAGACACCAGGCTGCTCCGTCACACTGAGGATGAAGCTTCCACGTTGTTTCTAATGAATAAAGTTCCAGTTTGGTTTAAGGTCTCTGCTGAAGTCTGAGGACGCCAGCGTGTTAGCTTAGCATGGCCGGAACAAAAAGCTGAATGTTGCCGACTTCCACCTGAAGTTTCTACACGTCCTCGTCTTCAGCAGCTCTCAAAACTACACAATCATCTTCAGGTGGAAGAAGGCGTTATTTGGTCTTTCAGGTGGGCGTAGCTCAAAGTGATGTCACAACAACTGCACAGGTGTGAGAGGATCATGTGACTGCTGCACTGGCTTCAAACACACCAATCATAGCAAGCCTCTAAAACATTCTGTTTCCTCGTTAGGACGGCCCACCTGTGGAAGGCTTCCTGTTTCCTATCACTTTACTCAGCAGCAGACGGCGCCGGCACACCGCCGTCACACGAGGCGACGCAGGAGAAGCTTCAGCGAGATGTTTCAGCGCAGCACATTATCTGGTGTGACCTCCTGAACCCGCTGCAGGGATTAACAGCAGTGAACACAACAGGAGCTTTTCTCTCTGATCACCATCTGCTCTGTCCACACATGCATGTTTCAGATAATCCGCACGCCTTCAAAGGAAACCTACACATCATCTCCACAAACGCAGCGCCGGGCGGGCGTGACGCCGCTCTTACCGTCGTCCTCTTTGCTGTGGGCGTTCTGCGGACTGTGGCGCATCCTCTCTCCGCGGCTCGATGGGCTCAGGTCTGACGCTGCTCCCAGATCGGCTGCTAGCCACGTGGGCTCGCTCATCTCGGCCTCCTCGCTGCTCACTGAACTGTCATCCTGAGAAACACAGACACAGCACGGTCACACATCCAGCCTCAGCCAATCGCGTTCGCAAACCAAGCACAGCTACATGTAGTGATGCGTGCACCGCTGCAAACGAGGCTTTGGTGTAAAGTACTGCTGACATTTACAGAGACGGGAATATTTAAGAATACACAGGAAATCAGCAGCATCAGCGGCGCCGATGCATCGGTGCATCAGCCTGACGAGAAAAACACACTGAAGCTACAAAAAATATACATCTGGAATAATAAAATCTGAAGTAATCCAACTGTGGGAACGACCAAAATCAAAAGAAGCAAAAACCAAATTCATATCTCGATATTCTTTAGCTGGATGGCGATATACGATATATATCTCGATATTTTTTTAAGCCATAAAGTAAGAACAAACAGAGAGTTCTTAGTCAAAGCTGCGTCCCAGATGTCACACGGGCACTTTTATTAACATAGAGCGTAGATGTACATGAAAAAATTACTCAAAAATACATTATGAGCCTTTATTAAATAATCATGCTCCATAAATAAAAGAAAACAATCTTGTTTTTGTGCTTAACAAAGAGCTCACAACTGTGCAGTCAAAATGTAAACTAACAGACGCTGAGCACAATAACAAAGATTTCACAGCAGCTCTGTTCCCAACTTCTACTGCGCGACTGACAGCCTGGAGTTTGAAGTTCTCTTCGTAACCGTGTCTCTTCAGGTGCCATTTATCGTCCTTATATGCACACAATACGGTAATATTACGCTGAAGCACAGTACGTATCACTCCACGAGGCTCCTCGGTAGCCGTAATGCTCCAACAATCCATCAAGCGCTGCGGCTCCATCGCTTACCAAAGTCGTACTAAACATTTTTTGCTGAGCGCCGTGCAGCAGATACAATCGGTTCGCGGCCATCAAGCACAACCTGCTGCCTGCAGGTGAAGCGATGGGGGAGGAGGGGGAGTTGTGTTCAGTGAAGGAGAGGCGAGGCCGAGTAACGTTGCGCAAAGACAAAAGTGGTCAAAAGAGAGGCAAACTTGCGGCTCCGCAAGTATAATTATAACGTAACATAGACTATATCGATATAAAGGATATTGTCACATCTTATATCTCATATAAAAGTATATCGATATTTTTTAAAAACTCGATATATCGCCCAGCCCTAATTCTACCCGTGTGTTCTGGCTCTCTCCCAAAGCAGCTTTGCATGAGTCACAGTTAGAGCTGGGCGATAGAACGATAACGATATGTATCGCGATATAACTTTTACTCGATAGAGAAATTAAGCTATCGCGATAGACCTCGCCGCTCTTGTCCTCTTAAAAAAAAAAAAAAAAAAAAAAAAGGTCAGCCAATCCAAATTAAGTAGCGCAGAGCCGAACCAATCACAGCCGCAGCGTCACGTCGCGTGACTTGTTACGTACAGCACAAGTGCCAAGCCGCACGTGTGTTTGTTTGGGAAGCAGCCAGCGGGTAATGGAGGAAATGAGTGTGCCGACTAGAAAAATCAACCGAGCGTGACCGAAGAGAAAACAGATGATGGTTCCAACGCCGGAGAGATTGTCGAACGGAAGAGCCACAGAAGTTCCGTAGTGTGAAGGTATTTCGGCTATTTCAAGTCTGACAAAAAACAGAGTAGCGTGCACTGTAAATTGTGCCGAAAGCAAGTCTGGAAATACAATAAACTGGTGCATGCGTCACACTGTGCGCCACGTTATTGTTTCGGTGAAATGAATTTCTACAATACTGTTAATTCTACTCTCTGCAGTGTTTAAATGCTTACATATACACACAGTTACTGTCCCTCCACACATACGACTCGGTTCTGCTTCTATGCCCCAGCTTTGTTTACTTTTTCCCACCGAGGCTTCTAGACTTCTGATTGGCCAACATTTCTGCACGGTTAGGAATCTAGCGCCACCTGCTGCTTTGGCATGTTCATAGCAGCGTTTTCCTTCATTTCTGCCTTTATGTGTGGACGGGATTATTTTTTAAAACGAAAACGGAAAATCTCAGTTTTCAAAAATACCCGTGTACGTGTGGACGTAGCCTCAGTCTCTGACTGGAAGCGCTAATTCGTCATTCGGCTTTTGTCAGACTAAAGTAACTGTTAAAACTGTTTGAAAAGCTCAGCTATACAACAAGGAGAGATTGAGAATTTCCTTTTAGTTCTCAGTTTATTTGATATTGACAAAAGTTAGTCAGTTTTGTCTGTTCTTCTGTAAAACAAACTAAGATTTATTTTTAGAATTAATATTTTGTTTCTAAGTGGAATTGACAGTTTAGTCTGTTTCGTTTGTTCTATTTTGAAACTTAAACGCTTTAGCGGCTGCCTTTTGTGTAGTTTGCAATATTTGCCTTTATTTATCTGAAAAAGTCTCATGTTCCTTAAGTACATCTACCCTGTTGAACTTATTATGGGAAATAAATATTTAAATAAAAACAAGCTGCTGATTATTTCACATTTTACTTGTGAGCAACGGCACATTTAAATCTTACAAATATAGTTATTTGGCTGATATCGTGATAGATATCGTTATCGCCTGAAATGAAAAAAACATATCGTGATATGAAAAAATCTCATATCGCCCAGCTCTAGTCACAGTTTGAAATAATCCTTCTTTAACTCACACTGAGCCCCCTGCAGCTGCTCACTTCATCCTCTGTCTGAAACAAGCTGATTTAGCTCCTCCTCCTCCAAGAAAACTTTCTCCCCATTGGCTGCCCCTCACAAAGCGAGTTTATGCGAGCATCCAGCCCTGAAGCAGGTGATCCATGACGGGAGATCAGGAGGAGTTTAAGTTAAAGTGTTGCTTTAAGAAGAACTGTTCCATAAAGTTTGTCTGCAAACTTAAAGCAGACGACTGGTTCAAGCTTCGTGACGAACGAGCTCTGAGTAAATGACACACGTCACTTTGTGTTTCCCTTTTACTTTAAATTGACACATCATCAGAGAAACTGAATCTGAGATCCAGGAACAAGCAGGCAGGTTTCGGTCCATCTCCACATCAACAAATATTCTTGGCGTCTTCTGTAATGGATGAAAGATGGAAATAGACGAGGATCACACACGTTTCCTCTCAGCCGACGGTGCATCGTTAGTGACACAAACCAATCTAAAGATTTATTAGAGAAAAACAAGAAACAGCCCCCAAGCAGGACGTGTGTCACGAGTCACGTCTGTGATCTCCACGAGCACACACACCTCGCCAATGAGCTGCTCCGCCTCCCTGCTGATAACCCACAGCACTCTGCATGCCTGTTTAAAGTCACCTGGATGAATCAAACTGTGTTTACCTGCCGTTTGAAACCGTTTTTAATCTCTTTATTTGCCTCTTTGTCGATGTGAGCATCCGTGGGATCCGCCATGACGCCCGCTCCCACGGTTTAACCCAAACATCAGAGCAAACAGCGAGCAGGAGGCGAGAGCGAGACGCCAAATCAAACAACACGAGCAGCACCTGCAGGCCTCGCCAGCAGCACCAGCGGCATGCCGACGTTTCTCTGAGCTGTTTTTCCTCCACCTCAAATACTCAAATACTCCTCGGCTCAGGCGGAGAACGCTGGGAAACACAGCAGATCTCATTAAACTATTATTAATATTACAATCCTGCTTATTCTGATTTTTTAAAATGGTCACAGACCGTGTCTTTGGACATCAAGCCTTTAAGACCCACCAAAGTCCGCCAGAGCTTATCTTTGTATTTTTACAGGCTGTAGTGCCGTTTTTCGGAGCATTTCAAGTTGCTATACATCAATACAACCATTACATCCCAAATGTTAATAATATGTCTGCATTAGGTCCATAGTAACTCCGTAAATTGCAAAAAAGCGGAATAAACTTCTAAAAACACCAGCATATCTCTGTAGGAAAACACTAAATTTCCCGTGAAAATGACGTCACTTCCGGTTTCGGGCAGGTAACGGCGGACGTGCGATAGTTCGCGCTGACGTCTGTTCCAATGTAGGAAGTGTTACGAACAGCTGATCAGATCAGCAAACATGTTTCTGGAACATTATGTTTTTGTTGCTGCAAGTGCTTTTTATGCAGTTTTTGCAAAGCTATATGTGGAAGGAAACCGTGACCGAGGACAAGCTGATGGCATAAGATGTAAGTACAACTCCTCCGGTTTCATATGCAAAAACTATTGCGCTAGCTCACGTGGTTGCAGTGCTGCCGGGATTTAAAAATACTTAGAGCGCGCCCGCTCCGACCTGTCATAAAGGGTTAATTAAAGTGATGTTGTTTAAAATTGGTCTCCACTCGACTTTTCCTACAAAAAAACCCCAACAGTCACAGATCAAAATAATCCTTCTTTATCTTATCCTTGGGCTTGGCGCAGACCCTCAGCTCCTCCTCCCCCCCTTCACCCATGACCACGAGCTGTGGGGCTGAAAGGATGAGATGGCGTATACGAGGAGCACAAACGAGCTTCCTCTGAGAGCGTCCGGGTCGGCCTTCAAGCTCGGCCGCTCAGCAGGAGCTCACCCACACTGAAGGGAGGCAGCTGAGATGTTTCCACGCTGATAGCTCCCAGGTGAGGTGTTTCTGGGAGGTTCTTGGAAGGAGACCAGAAGCAGAGCCAGGGGCTGCTTCCAGAAGAGCTGGAGGATGGAGATGTGCTGTTAGACAGCGGACAGGTGGAAGCGTGAGCTGCCAGGTTATGACCACCTCGCTGGGTGGTGACGCTGAGGCGTTTTGACCCACTCTTACAAATGCTTTCACGCTCCGAGCCCGACATGAAAGTCAGATTTATTGGGATCCAAACAGCGAGCGTGTGCCCACACAGTGCCACGTTATGTGAGGCGGTTCGAGTCTCGTTATATTTTAATGAGATGATTATTAGCTTTGCCTGTCAGCAGCAAAGCTACTCCTGACTGTGTCCCAGCCATCAAACACACGTGCAAAGCTGGAATCAGCATCTCAGCATCCCGGCGTTTTCCATAATTAGATCTCAGGCACTACGACCGCCTTTTCTTGTTACGGACATATTCAAGGAGATGACAGACAACA